GCTTGGCAGGAGGGAAGTTCCTGGCTGGGCTCCTGCCAAGTCACACCTGCTCCAGTGCTCCAAGCGCAGAGCTGCCCTGGCTTGTACCTTCCACATGCGGGCTCGCTCGGGAAAGTGTTCTGGCAGCTGGTGAGCAAAGGCCCTTATCCTTGTGGGTGTGAAGGGATGAGATTTGTGACTCATTGTGCTTGGGTGGGGGAAAGGCTGCAGCAGGGGAGGGCCAGAATCCCAACGGGGGAGATTTGCAGGCCTACAGGCTGCTGGCCCCATGCCAGATAAGGGCCCAGTGAGTCAGCTGCCAACAGTGGCCTGAGGCTGGGGCCTGAGCCCTCTAGGCAGGGAGGACAGCTGAAATTTGAAATTCCGACAGTTTGGGCTCCTGGCTCTGTCTCTGGCTTGATGTGGGGTATCACATCCCTGTAGGCTTGCTCCTCATCTGCAAGGCTTCCTAGGTCCTATTGGCTCTGAGGAAAGGGGACACCCCCTTAGGCCCTGGGGATGGGGGCTGCAGGCCAGAGGTTAGAGGGTAACCTGTGGGCTCTACATGGGTCGGGGTCCTAAGATCTCTGAGAAGGGGTTTGGAGAAGGATCTCTGTTCCTTCATTCTGTGGGATCCCAGCACCGGGAGAGGCAAGGGCCCCCGCTGGTCTGGATGGGGCACAGGGGAGGATAAGAATGTGGGTAGGACTTCAGGGAGAGGGAAGAAGGAGGGAGCACGGGAGGGGTAAAACTGATAGAAAGTCTACAATTTGCAGCTGGTTTGGCAATGGGGCTCAGGGGCGCTGGCGCCCGCCCCACAGGACTGAGGAGAGAGAGGCAGCTGGCCTTGGCAGGGGGAGAGGAAGAGCCTGGGTGGGGCGGGGTCCCAGCTGCCACCAGCCTGTCTCCAGGCTGGACCCCTCCACTGCCACTCACCCCACCCAGGCGTCCTCGCTGAGAGGAGGGGCGGTCGCCCTCTTCTCACTTGGCGCTCAAGCCTCAGTTCTTGACCAGAAGTCTGGCTTATAGTGCTGACTGCTGGGTGAGCTTGGGCAAATCTCTTGCCCTCTCTGAACCTCAGTGACCTCCGCTAGGAGACAAACTACCTACCCATTATGGGTGCTGTGAGGATTAAATGAGAGGGTGTGGGTGAACGGCCTGGAACCAACAATGTCAGATTCTCTGGATGCTCCCTCCACCCATGACGTTTTCTCAGGGACAGGCCAGTGCAAGAGATGGGACAGGTGTCCCCCCACCACGTGTCCCAGGCTTGGAGTCAGCTGGACCCCAGCCTGCTGCCCCGCCTGACTTCAGCCCAGGTCCTGCAACCCCAGACGTGAGGACAGATCCAACCCCCACCCCCGCACTGGAATGGGACTGTGTGTCTCCCTGACCCCACCCAGGCAGGCAGACTCGCGGCCCCTCCTAGCTCTGATGACCTCTGTGGCCCCCTGAATTTGAAATTGTCAGGAAGAGACATTCCTGATCTTAGGGGATCGAGCCTGGCTTTCTGAGAAGAAGGAGGAGAATAGCACATTCTTCCTGAAATAATTGTCCTGGAGCTATTTCCAGAGGCTCTTAGTGCCCAGGCCAGAAATGGCCAGTGAGCTCGATGCCTGGGTACCTTCAGGTCAAATGGCACAGAGGCCTGGCCCTCCCGCTGGCTGGCTGCCTGCCTGTCCAGCCCCAGGCCCAGGCCCAGCGCAGAACTAGGCTGGCTCTGGCCCCACAGGAAACTGCTGACCCAGCTTCCCTGGTCCATGGAGTCCCCCACGCTCCTCTCCTTCTGGGACAGGGTGATGGGAGGTGGGGTGGGGAGGGGTCTGATTCCTTCTCTTATAACCACCACACCCCAGGGCACAAGGCGTTCACTCAGTGGTTATGGGGTGGGGGACCTACGTGGAGAGCTCTATGCTGAAGTGCTTTGTGACCTGGAGCTCATCACTAGGAAACATCAGATAAACCCAAACAAGAGAACATCCTCCAAAACAGCTCACTGACACTCCTATCTTCAAAAAAGACAGAGAGAAACCAATGACGAATTCCAGGTTTTTGGGACCGGTGAGACATGCGGAAGAGGCAATGCCTGAGCCTGGAGTGGGAAACGGATGCCTCGAGAAATGACAGCGGGAAGGTGGCTGACATATAGCGTTCATGGTTAGCTGCCCTGACATCGGGGTGTGGCAATGAGAGCAAAGGGCCCTGTTGTCTCAGCAGCGAGGAGGTACAGAAGTGATCAGGGATAAGATGCCTGCAGTTTGGTCTCAGAATAAGAATAATCTGTGTGGGGCCCTCCTGGTGGTGCAGGGTTCAAATCTCAGCACCAGGACATTGTTGCCAGCCCCTGCTGCAAGAGTTTGATCCCCAGCCAGGGAGTTGATCCACATGGCGCTGCCGACCTCTCCTGCCGACCTCCCTGTTCCCCTCAGCAGTGTACTTCATCTGCCTGCTCTGCTCCCCACTCTGTCTCTGGTCAGTCCTCTCACCCCCCACACCTTTGTCCTGTACCCCAGTTCTTGTATGCATAAGTAAATATATCTTAAAATAAAAAACAGAATAAAAGTCCTAATTAAAAGAAAAGTGGTCTGTGTGTGAGTTACAGCGGTAGACATCAAAGTAGCAATTGTCCATGATCAGTGGCCCTGGGTGGAGACCTTGTGGGCGTCCCTGTCTTAGGAGGTTTCACCCGTTTGAACATTTTTCTAAAATAGAAAGTGAAAGTGTACTTTCCATGTTCGAGAAAATGATGGAGGAACACATTTCTCTTTTCTTTTTTAAAGATTTATTTATTTTGTGCATACAAGAACTGGGGTACAGACCAGTGGTGCAGGGGGTGGGAGGACTGACCAGAGACAGAGTGGGGAGCAGAGCAGGCAGGTCCACTGAAATACACTGCTGAGGGGAGCAGCGGGCGGGTCAGGAGAGGACTGCTGCGCCATGAGGGTCAGCTCCGGGGCCGGGCTGTGGCTGTGATAGCTGAGACTTAACCTCAAAGGGAAATTTCTTTGCTCGGTATTATGTGCTGAGTGGTCCTTGTGGGTCAGCTCCTGAGGAAGCCCTCGGGCCCAGGACACCAAGGCACTTGATAAGGCATTGTGGTCACTTGTTCAGGAGGACGGGAGAAAGCAGTCGTGTCCAAGGACAGGTCACTCAAAGACACAACACTTCCGGGGGACTTGGTGGCTGTCTGCTGACCCAGTGAAGAAACAAATAATTGATGCCAACAGCAGTTCTATTAGACTTCTACGTTAGCATAATTAAACACCCCCAAAATAACAAGGAACACTGGAAAGCATCCCCACCCCTTCAGTCTCATTTTAAAAATAGCATCCATCTGTCCTGAGCACTTAAAGTGGTGGGGGCCTGCGGCGGGAGCCTGCCTGGGGTGACCCCAAGGCCCCTCCCAGAGGGAGGGTTCCGTGATTCTATGACATGGCTAACAGTCTGGAGTGGTGCGCGTGGGCACCCCAGATGAGAGCACGCGGAGGGCTTGAGTCATCTGCCTCCTAAGACAGAGTGAGAGGAGTAGGCTGGGCGGGCGGGCAGGGGCCGCGTCCCTCGGAGGAGGGGGTGGGTGGGACTGGACCCGGGAGGGAAGAGACAGGGTCTGGACATTCCACGCGCGTCAGGCCCAAAGGACAAGGGCAGCTGAGGGGCCATGAGTGGGGAGAGACAGGCAGCTGTGTGCTGGGTGTAACAGGCTCTGTACTGCTTTGCACCCTGGAGGCAGAAATGAAAAATTCACATCCAGTGGGGGAGAGAAGTCCATTCTTTCTGGTGGGCATGGTATTCGGGAGCTGAGGGACCTTGGGGCTAGGGGGTTTGACAGACTGGGCTTCTCTTTCGCCTGCTCAGGCCATAGTCCCTGTGAAATGCCCACTTTGGGACCAGGAGGAGAAGAAAGCCTCCTGGGGTGGGTGAGGAGCACCCCCACTGTCAGAGGAGCAAGACCAGAGACACTAGAAGGTTCTGATCACACAAGTCTCATCCCAAGATGACTTGTAGTGCCACCTGCCCCCTCTGTCATTTGGGGTTCATAATGTCAGGATCAACTTGGTGACAGAGTTACAAAAGCCCCTCTCCATTCAGTTCTCCTGACAGCGCCCCATCCCCGTGGGTAGAGCAGGAGTGATAAGAATTCTTCCTTAGCAGAATTGGAGGGCAGGTTGTGCAAAGTCCCCCTGACAACATAGCATTGTCTTTCAGGGGTGATTAAGACATACCCAAGATAGTACCCTCTGGTGCCACCACTTACAAGCTACGCGATCTAAGGTGAGTCATGGCATCTGCCAGAGCCTCAGTTTCCCCATCTGTCAACTAGGAATACAACAGTAACCACCTCCTTGCTTTGTGGTGAGAATTATATGTAGGTGGGGAGCAAAGGGCTGGGTACAGGCACTTCTACGACACCCTGAAATCAGTGTGTATCTTGGGCTTGATTACCAGGTGTTTTTATTTTTTTAAGATTTATTTATTTATGCATATAGAGCTGGGGTTCAGGCCAGAGGTGCAGGAGCGATGAGAAGATTCACCAGAGACAGAGAGGGGAGCAGAACAGGCAGATTGATGGAGTACACTGCTGAGGGGAGCAGTGGGAGGGTCAGGGAGGTCTGCTGCACCCTGTGTGTCACCTCCCAGGCTGGGAATTGAACTCACACTGAAGCAGCTGCGGCCAGCTTGCAGTGCTGCGCCCTAATCCATTGCGCCATCAGGGAGGGCCCTTGATGACCAGTTTAATCGAGGCCTGGGATTTCACTATTAGAGAGCCATGTTTGACTTTAGTCAAGGCTGTCTTCTTCTCCAATTTGGAAATCCCTGGACCTTGGAGGAGGGTGAGGAGAAGGCAGAAGGGGGGGAGGGTGTTCTGGAGGCAGAGGAAAGGCCAGAGAGAAAGGTTGGAGGGAGGTGTCGGGGAGCTGGGGATGCCGACCCGACTCTGCCTTTGCCAGGCCCAGGTAACGAGGCTCCAGGGGACGCACAATAGTTCGGTGGCACAAAGGTGTATCTGCTCAGCCGGGACCATGTCTGGATACCAGGGCAGCCGCCCCAACTCCTGCAGCCACCCCTACAGTGCCCACAGTGAGTCCTTTCCGGGCCGGACCCCAGCCTGGTCCTATTATCCCAACCTGGGCGGGGCTAGCAGCTCCAAGCGCCCCAATACCCCCAGTGGTTTGGAGTCCAGCAGCTACAACAGCCCTTCAGGGAAACCCTACAACCTCTACTCCCCGAAACTTCCAGTGAGGAGGATCTGCATGGGCCGACCCTACAACTCCAAGTGTGTGGAGACAAGTCACCTGGTGAACTGCCCCAGGGAGGCCAGGAAGCCTGCTGGCCACGGCCTGCTCTGCACAGATCGTCCCTCTGGCACCCTCAGCCCCACCTTCCTGGACCAGCTCATCAAAGGCATCAACTACCTCGACAGGTCCACCAGTGCCTTCTGCACCAAATCATCTCTGAGCCTGCCGAGGCTCGCAGCCAACTACCTGGAGCGAGCTGCCAGCGCCATCTACCTGGACCAACAGGACCACCCCTACCCCCACAGTTATTCCCACCCCAGCACCAGTATGGCCGCCTCCCACACCTCCCAGCCCAGCACCTGCATGGTGCGGTCCCCAAGGACTGCCAAAGCTTTGCAGGGTATGGATGACAGCACCAACGTGAGTTGCCCTCGACTCTACAGCCAGAATGTCACCCCCCTGCTACCACAGAGGCCGGGGATCAAGTTGCCCGAGCTCCCTTTATTCGGCAATGGGATCTTTTCCTTAGGTCGTCTGCCCAAGGTCTGGGAAGCAATCCGCGCTGGTTGGAGGGCTCCTGAGCCCACCCCTAAACCCTGCAACTGGTGGTGATGGCGACACCAGCCATCTAGGGGCACGTGTGCATCAGGCTGCAGTTGTGGAAAATAAATTGTAGTGAAATGTTTGTTCCGAGGCTCCATTGGGGGACGGCTGTTTAGACTGGGAATTCTCCACTCAGCCACCCGGGTTACTGGGGGAATCGGGCTGGGGGCTCCTGGGAGGCTGCCTTGTCAAAAGGAGTCAGAAATCAGATGTTGATATAGTAGTGACAAACTGCAGAATGTCACCGCATTCTGGGGCCGAACGTACTTGTGGGTCGAGAGTGCAGCCCGCCGGGTCTGAGTTTGGAGTTTCTGGTTTCTATCTTGAAAGCATTGCTGGGGAGGTTCCTGCCCCCCTTCACTTTGGTGAAGAGAGAGACTGGCTGTCTATCCCAATTTTTATCCATCCTTTTCTATTTTGGGGGATTGTTGATTTTAACACGGGCCCAGGTGAGCAGAAAGAGAAAAGTAATAGTAACGATAAATCACAGCGATGACACAGCACGAAAGCCTAGTGTGGTAGACACACACCTGGAGGCAGGTGTGGGAGACAAGAGGGATAGTTCAGGGGGTGGGAGCGGGGGACCCTCCCCAAAGGGAAATCCCTGAAGGGAGTGGTTCTGCCTAGACCAGGGGAGGACTAGAAGGGTCAGAAGGCACCTGAATTTCTTGCCAGGAAATTCTGAGAAATTATTTCCTGCATCACTGAGGGCATAAAGCTTCAGAGACTTAGCTTAGTGGTTCTGTAAAGCTGCCCCACAAGCCATCCCAATACCCACCATCCTGCTGGCAGAGGAGGTAATCTGGTAGCCTAGTTCTGCCACTCTTGTGCCCCGGGAGCTTGGATGCATCACATCACTCTCTTAGGCCTCTGTCTCCCCTTCTGTACCATGAGCTTTGCTCATGGCCCACTCTCCCGACATGAGTGGGGCTAACAGCTTCATGGGCTACCAGCTTCTCAGGGCCTTAGAACCTGCTATCTCTGAGTCTTTCCTCCGCCCAGGCCTGGAGTTTGGTGAGTTAAGGATTGACAGTGCCTTCTACTCCCCTAGAACTCCTGAGTCCTGATTTATTGTCCACAGCCATTTCAGACCTCAGGGCCCATTTCTGTATGACTGTGAACTTCAGACCTATGCCTTCCTTGATGGAGCTCTCCTGTCTTCTTGGAGGGCATATAACAGCTCAGTGTAGAATGGGCTGGCATTGAAATAATACAGAACCCAGAGATCTACAAAACTCCATGGCCAAACCCCATGGCCAAGTGGAGGGGTGACCTGCCTGAACATATCTACCACGATGGTCCCAGGGCAGGAGGGAAGGGGGGCGTACTGAGCACCTAGCCCACTGAATTCACCCCCTTTTCAATTCCATCTCTGGAGGACAAGAGAGCTCCTCCCTGGTCCCAAGCTCAATAGTAGAGCATGCTCCTTCCTCTGCCTCTTGAATCCTTTCTCTTGCCATAAAGACTTGGCCTTTTTTGGAGGGACACTTAACCTGCCAGTAATCCATTGCTCAGATGAGTAGTCCCAGGAAAACAGCTTGTTAGAAACCCAGCTCAAGAGATAGTTCCAGAGTCTCCTGATCCTCAGATTCTTTTTCTGGCCACTCAAAGCTATGACCCATCTTGCTCTGGGTCCTATTTGCCTAAGAGTCACCCTGGACTTCCCTGGAGATGCCCAACTCCAGAACAGTGCCATTTCCCCTAATCAGAGAGCAAGACCCTGACTGAGACACTGCTCTTAAGTCTCCAGGATCTAGCCCTGTTCACAATACGGGTTCTTTTATTACATGGACGTTGATGACAGGGCCTTGCGCCCAGTAGGTCCCACTAACAGTACCTACCATGATATGAAGGTGACTACCGCGTCGCCCAGGCAATAGCTGTTCACTAACTCTCAGTGACGGCAGTCCAAAATTATTTTGCTTTTCACTAAACACGGGGCAGTGTTTTAAGTGCATTGTCTGTATTAACCCGCTAATCTCTAACACAATCTCTTAAGGAAGCCCCTTTGTCTATAATTACAGAGGAGGAAACTGAGGCATAGAGGTCATGTGCAAGTGATTATGTAAGATGTTTATGATGCATCAAACACAGCAGTGTTCTGTGCAGAGTAGATGCATGATAATAATACTCTTCATGATTACATATCTTGCAATTAGTAGGTGCTCCATAAATGCACCCAGAGGGTGCTCAATGCATGGTAGACATCGTGACAGAACATAATAGTGTAGTAGATGCTGGAAGGATGTTTGACTCTTGGTTGGAGATGGAGCAGGGACATCCTTCAGGGACAGGATCTCTGTGCTTGGTCCAAACTACTACTTGGGGTAGATACACATTGCTTATGAATGAGGCCCTTCCACTGACCATTTAGTCCAAGTCCAAAAAAATAAAGCTTTTAGTTAGAAAAGACCCTCTGCTGATGCGTGGCTATGCAGAGGCCACAGGAAGTCCCCGTGTCCACTGTTTGAATCATGCATCTGCAGGGGCCATGTAAACAGGAAACAGCCTGCCGGCTCAGAACAATGCCACAGTCTGCTGAGCTGGCCACCTTTTGTACAGAAGCAACTAGGTGTCCCCACAGCTGGGGGCGGCCAGGGAAAGTCCTTCACGCCTGCAGAGGTCCGTCATTTACGGAGCACCCACACTGTGTGCCAGGCTGGCTGCCAAGGTCTGACACATGGGCTCAGCCCGTAGGTCCTCGGAGGCTAAGTTTTTAGCTGTCCGTTTTTGGGGGGTTGCGGTAGGGGCAACTGAGTATTAGAGTGAGACCTGTCCAAGATCCTGTAACTGACAAGTAGCAGAGTTGGGGTTCCGACCTGGGGCTCTGACTGTCAACCAACACCCTTTTCTCCAAGTGTGGTTTCTTTTGTAGTATATATTGAGGGATTCCAAGAGAAAGGGGTTGATTTTGATCTCCAAGATAAGCATGAAGTAGACATAGCAAGGATGGTGTCTAACTTGGGGGGCTTGGGTTCCCCCAGTACCAGCATTCTGAACAGGGCAGCAATCGCCTGGAGTATGTTCTTCCCAAGAAGTCAGCAGAGAGATATTTGCTCAAGGTCACCTGCTGTCTCAGTTCCCCAGCCCACTGGACCCTGCATCACTGGGTGACTCTGAGTGCAAGGGCATGATATTAGAATGATTTTTCAAATTTGTGAAATCCAGTGTTGCCCTTTTTAAAATAACTTGAGATCACTAATTATGCTTTAGAAAACCAGTGAGCCTTTTATATCACCAAGGTGCTTGCTGGAGAGACACCCTCATCCTATTTCCAGCCGTCCCTCACCTCCAAACCTTCCCTCTGAGCATGAGCCCAGCCTGCCCCTCGCACCATCCCTGAGGCCCCCTTTTACCCCCACTTTCAATTCTGTCTCCACAAAGCTGGTCTGCTCACTCCGCAAGAAAACTTCTAAGAATGGAGCACCCGCCCCTCCCCCGCCCCGTGTATCCACACTGACACCTTTTAAGTTGAAATCTCAGAAGGGGCAAAGAGCCTCAGACAAGTGGGAAGCCTGTGCTGGTACCACCATTTTGGGCAAATTCTCTTAACAGCCCTCCTGGGCCTCTCCCGACAGGGCAGGAATTTCTCATGAACAATTGAACAAAGCCGGGAACTCGGAGGGAGAAGGCACAGGACATTCCAAAAGGAGTTCTCTCAAGCTCCCAAATACATGTGGGAACACTGCAGAAGGCGCGTAATCATGCGAAGAAAAGCATGAAAGGGACGGAAGCGCTGCCCAGAGGAAGGGCTGTGCAGGCTGAGGAAGGAACTTAGGGGCTGGGGTCAGGAGGCCCAGGTGGGAGGCTGCCTCGGTCACCTGGACCCTGAGGAGGCCACACCACCTGTTTGGATTTAAAGACTCAGGGAGCTGGCCCTCCCTGCTGGCGCCTCAGTATGAGTTCGATCCCATCCTGGAGCTGACCCACATGGCACCACAGACCTCTCTTGGCTCATCCGCTGCTCCCCTCAGCAGTGTACTTCGTCCATGTGCCTTTTCTGCTCCCCACTCTGTCTCTGGTGAGTCCTTTCACCATCCTTGCACCTCTGGCCTGCACCCCAGTTCTGTATGCATAAGTAAATAATTTTTTTTAAAGTTAAAAAAAAACCTCAGGGAGCTGGTGGGCCTCCCTGGTGGTGCTGGGGTTAAGTCTCAGCACTATCAAGCTATTGCCAGTCACTGCAGCATGAGTTCAATCCCAGCCAGGAAGCTGACCCACATGGAGCAGCAGATCTCTCCTTCTCCCCACTACTCCCCTCAGCAGTGAAGTTCAGTAGATCTGCCTGTTCTGCTCCCCACTCTGTCTCTGGTAGATTCTCTCACTCCTCCATTCCTCCGAATCTCTGTACCCCAGTTTTTGTTTGAATAAATAAATAAAAATAAATCTTTAACATAAAACAAAACCAAGGGAGCTAGAAAGTAAACACAGAGGCACGTGGTCTGTTCATACCATGGTTTATTAATCACAAGACATGGGGACCATCCTAGACATCTAACAACAGGATACCCCAGAGTGGCAATCTGGTGCTACTTCCAACGTGGGCGAGTGTTGCAAGGGAAAGATGCCATTTGAGCTGGTCAAAGTGCTGAGTGACACAGGTGATTTACACTCTGAGCAAGTTTCTTATCTCAGAGGGGTCATAAACAGTTTGGAGCCTGACACCTGTCCACCTGGCCACTTTTAAGTAGCCCTTGTTCTTACTGAAATGGGGAACTATATATGAAAACATAACGTTAAGTGAGAAAAGGGAGACATGGGCCTGCTGTGGTGGCGCAAGAGGTTGAAGAACAGCACTATGAAGCTGTAAACAGCCACTGGAGCACAGTTCGATCCCCGGCCAGGGAGCTGACCCACATGGCGCAGCAGACCTCTCCTGTCTCACCCACTGCTCCTCTCCACAGTGTATTTCAGTACATCCGCCCGATCTGCTCCCCACTCTGTCTCTGGTGAGTCCTCTCACCCACTACACCTCTGACCTGTACCCCAGTTCTTGTATGCACACATAA